TCTTTACCACAGTGTATGAGTTAGAACACTGTTCCCAGTTGGATGCATTTAAAAACTGATTCAGAGTAAAATGCCCTCGGTCCATCCATCTCTGCGCCCTGAGGTAGATGCTGACCTTGATCCTGCTCCAAGTTCCCCAACCCTCGGTTTTAAATATCCTCAACAGAGATAAATGCTGTGCAGTGTTAAACCTCAGTGACAGGAGGTGAACAATGCACACTTTTTCATGAAGCCTTCCCAGAATGGATAAAAACCTTGAACCACTACATCGCTCTGTGCAAGGTCAGAGTATATTCCACATTAAAGACTCATTTTGGATACATGCAATATATTTGGAATTATAAAATATTTCAAGATGGACTCCTGGAGTTTTCAGCTATGATTACCTTGCTTTATGCAGTGTTAGTGACATAGTTCATGAGAACCAAGATGGTCCCAGGAAAGAAGGTGATTACTTTGGTTATCTGATTTCCATTCTGAACTTCAACAGGCTTTTTGATATTTCACTCGGGAGCTCAGGAGGTCATTTTCCTGTTGAGATGTTTTCACCATCCTGTTGAATAATGCTATTTTGGGGAAATCAGAGTATCTTCCTGCATAATCATGAAATAACAACAATAGTACAACAGTATTTGGTAAAAATAAATAAATGAGAACAGAGTAGCTGATAATAAAAAATCAATTTGAAACCAACAACAGCTACAGCTAAAACACTACATTGATGTATAATTTCTTAAGTAATAATTTAAAACTCAAAGGTGAGCACACATGCTTCACCTAGAATTTCAATCCTAAATAATGAGATCTGTGTTTAAAAAAACAGGATTCAATCAAACATTTTAGGAAATTCACTGTTAATGAACTTCATGTCTCGAGTGAACCACCACAATAACCTGAACTAGAGCTCCGATCTGAAACCACATTTCTTTCCAGATGACTGCCAAACAAGGGGTGAATAAAAATATATGTGATTTGATATTCTTCTTTCTACCGCACGCAAATGTGAAAGTGTGTTTCCTTTGCATGTGTGTTTTTGTGTGTGTTTGTGTGTGTGTTTGCTTTGTTTTTTTTTTTTTTGCTGTGACAACCTTTCTTATATTACCAAGGAGCCTTTTACCAAAAAGTACATTATTCAAATTGAGATAAGTCTCAGGTAAAGTTATATGATAACATGCTTCTATAAGCATTTGAAGGTTTTTCAGTCGTTCATAGGAGAAGCTATCAGAGATCTGTAAATGACAAGCACTCTCCTTGTTCAGTTGTCTTCTCAAAGCTCACCTGCACCGGAATGCACCTTCTCAAGAGCTGTGTAGACAGAGGCTGGAGGAATTCACATGACTGTGGGCCTCAGGGTTCAGCCTGGAGGCACAAAATGGATTAGATCTAGAGCAGATTCTCGTCTCATACAAGTGCTGTATTTGGAAGATAAGAACTAGACCAAACACTTGAGAGTTAAGTGGAAGGATCTTATAACACTAATATTTTGTTGGATGTTCAAGATATATAGAATTTAATCCTTCAAAAATACAGAGACTGGGTAAACACTGCAAAAGATACGGAGTAGTCATTTTCATCAGCCTGATGTTTATAGCCTGTTTTCACTGGAACATTTAGTTCAAAGCATCTTTGCTATTTATGTGACTTCAGAAGAATTCACAGAAAACCATAAATAAATGGAATTGCTAAATAAATTCAATACAATTGCAACTCTTAATAGAAAATGTTTTGAAACAAATAACTTGATTTAATCTTTTTTAAAGGTTCTGTGGCATAAAGAATATACAGAATCAGTATTTGCTGCACTGATTTCTGGCAGGCTGGTGGCTTCAAGATAGGAAAGGATATCTTCTCTATATTTTTAAAGGCATTACTGTTTAGCAGTATTAAGACTGATTATTATAAAGTGTTTTAGATTCAGATTAGAATTGAAATATCTCTTTATCAGAGGAATATCTTTGTAGATCTAAAGATAAATCTTAAAAAGTACTTTTGAAATATTTTTGATAAACTACAGGAAAACCCTTTCCTGAAATGGACACGGAATTAACATCAGAGAGTTTTATTTGGCTGCTTCAGACTTCCACTGTTGCACATCAATGCAGTTTATTTTACCAATGTTTAAAAGTAATGTTGAAATGTTTAGATGGGCACCTGGGTGGCTCAATCAGTTGAGTGACTGCTTTTGTCTCAGGTCATGATCCTGGAGTTCCAGGATCGAGTCCCACATCGGGCTCCCTGCTCAGCGGGGAGTCTGCTTCTCCCTCTGACCCTCTGACCCTCCCGTGCTCTCTCTCTCTTTCTCTCTCTCAAATAAATACAATCTTAAAAAATAAATTGACATTAGGGGCGCCTGGGTGGCTCAGTTGGTTAAGCGACTGCCTTCGGCTCAGGTCATGATCCTGGAGTCCCGGGATTGAGTCCCGCATCAGGCTCCCTGCTCAGCGAGGAGCCTGCTTCTCCCTCTAACCCTCCCCCCTCTCATGTACTCTCTCTCTCTCATTCTCGCTCTCTCAAATAAATAAATAAATCTTTAAAAATAAATAAATAAATAAATTGACATAAAAAAAAGAAATGTTTAGAGATGGTGATATCATGACTCCTTCACCCCAAAGTGAACAAAACTTAGTCGAAATGAATCCCATTTAATGTGTAGAGAGAAACGGGAGCAGGGCTGTTTCTGGTGCTTGTGGACAGACTGAGTCCCACAGACAAAATGGGAGAGAAATTTTGGGTTTTTGAAGATCTTTCTCTACTCCTTTCAAGACATTGATCAGTACCACTTTCAGTGTTTCCTCCAGAAATAAATGTCTGTGCTTCCATCCGTAACTGGGAATGAATTATTAAATCATGTGAGTTTTACAGGAACAAAGTTCTCTTCAATGGACTGAAGATCGGAAAATTGGACTACCCAAATATCTTTCAACTTTCTGACAAGGAAGAGGAGTATATTTCATATAATGACATTGGGTCGGCCTGGAGCCTTTGGGCACTTAGGAATCAAGTATAGCACTTTTTCTAAATAATAAATTCCGTGATGCCATTGAAAACTTAAGTGAACTTTTGAAAAAATAATAGAAGGCATCATAAGAAAGAAGGGACCACTGATATTGGAAAAAGTAACTACCCTATCAGAAATAACTTGGCTTAATTTGTCTGTGTGACAGGATGTGGTTTTAAAAAAAATCAAGATTAAATGATAGAAAAACCTATAAAACAGACATTTCTCTAAAAACTTCATCCCAAATAAAGTTTGACAGACATTTTTGTTGGTACATCTTTGTTTTCTTGTTTGTCCTTTAATATTTTTTTAACCCTCCTCCAGAAAGTTTTTAGTGAAAAGCTTTATCTGTAGAGCCCAGGACCAGAAGCTAATGAGAAAGAACATAAGTCATATGGGAAAATCAATGTCATTATTTTATCAGCATAGGTATACATCTCCATCAAGGAAAATCTTTTATAACAAAACACTTTTATGAAACCCAGAAGCAATTTGTTGTCAGAAGGGAAGGTCTTGGACATGCTTGACCATTTCTTTCTTCACAGAAAATGTGTGTGTTTCAAAGCTTAGTTTAGAAGAATTAGGTGGAATTTGCCAACTTTTTGCCATTCTGAGTCTCATGAAAGCCTTCACCAAAAGTTAATAAAATAATCTGGGTCTTCGTGTTATTCACATCTGATTCTAATCATCTGATTCAGGATTTTAAACATCTCCACTTTCAGAATATTTATTCATTCAACAATCATTATTATAAACTAAAAAAAATCTCTTTTTCTTTCTTTCTTTCTTTCTTTCTTTCTTTCTTTCTTTCTTTCTCTCTTTCTTTCTTTCTCTCTTTCTCTCTTTCTTTCTTTCTTTCTTCTTTCTTTCTTTCTCTCTTTCTTTCTTTCTTTCTTTCTCTTTCTTTCTCTCTTTCTTCTTTCTTTCTTTCTTCTTTCTTTCTTTCTTTCTCTCTTTCTCTCTTTCTTTCTTTCTTTCTTCTTTCTTTCTTTCTCTCTTTCTTTCTTTCTTTCTCTCTTTCTTTCTTTCTTTCTCTCTTTCTCTCTTTCTTTCTTTCTTTCTTTCTTTCTTTCTTTCTTTCTTGAGGAATGGAAGAAGTCAAAATTAGATGGAAATAAATGTAAACAGACCATGTGGTACATCAAGTTTCCAGCTCTACTCTTTAGAAGGGCCAAAATTTGCATCAGGATATGAGGAGAGAAATGTTAGTGTAAGACTGTCTCCACAGATGGCCCTAAAACATTGCCTCACATAAAAGCAATATACAGCTCTCAGTTCTGCAGAAGCTAAATCTTCATTTCTGTCATGTATTTCTTTGAGTTCAAGAGCTAAGTTTGACGAAGTCATTATAGTGTTTCATTTCTGGGGTTTCCATTGTGCATGGTATTAGCTGCCCTGTCGCCCCCTTCACTGTGCATGGTAGGAGTGTGGCAGGTGGAAATTCACAAGCCCATCTTCTATGAGTAGGAACAACTTTTTAATTTCCCAGGAACGTTAAGATCTTGGAGATTTAGAGGAAGTCGGTGTGAAGGTAGGTGGTTCTTGACTGTAGGCTAGAGTGAGCAATGGCAATAAAGACTCTGAAGAGTGTCCTGGGGACAGGCATGGCCTGTCCCTCCTTCTGGAAGGTTTGAGATTTGCAGAGAGGGGATGTGGAAGCAGGAACACTTACAGCTCAGTGAGAGAAGACTTGGAGGCTTGCCAGAGAATCATGCCGGTAGGCAATATGGATTAGTAGATTATAATTTGGAACTCTTAGAAAAAAGATTCTCATTATTATACAAATAGATAAGAACAAATAAAATGATCCAACCTCATGAAACAACAAATGGTTACCAAATAAAATCCAGTAGAGACCCACATTTGCTTTTCCCTTTTTAAATTCACGATCTTCTTTTTTCTTTCCACGCTTTGAGGGGCACTCGATAACGTTCTCTATTTTGTCTTTATTTGTTGCTCATTACTGTTACTTCCATTCAGTCTTTCCCCTCCTTTCTCATAGGTTTTGACCTAGTAAAGTGTGAGGATCCAGGAGTCCCTAACTATGGCTATAGGATCCGGGATGAAGGCCACTTTACTGACACTGTGGTTCTGTACAGCTGTAACCCAGGCTACGCCATGCATGGCAGCGACACCCTGACCTGCCTCAGTGGCGACCGCAGGGTGTGGGACAAACCACTGCCTTCCTGTGTAGGTGAGTTGGGCAGCCAGCTTCCATTGCTACACAAAATCATACCTAAGGGCAGGAGCTCCAGGTGCTTTGGAAGAGGACAGGATGCTTCTGCTCTCTCTCCAGTGTAGGCTCCTTATGTACTTCCAAGATATGCATGTTTTCTGGTTTTTGCTTTATGTATGAAAGAAAGACTTCCTGGTACTATTTTACTGAGACTATATGCATGTAATTATTATGAGAATTGTAACATGAGTGTTTCATTGTTTTATACTCTTGACTTGAATTACATACTGGGCAATGTCTTCCAATTGGGATAACGCTGGGGAACGAGGAAAGGAAAGAAATGATGGAGACAGACGATTGTGATTTTTTTTGTTTTTTTTTTGGCTAGGTATATAATGTGGATGTGAGGGTTTGGGGTTTAGTTTTTAAAATAGCTAAATTGAAACCTGTGTGGGGGCCTGGAGTAAATTCCCTCAATTGTCATATCTCTTGCAGCCGAGTGTGGTGGTCAGATCCACGCCGCCACCTCTGGGCGCATCCTGTCTCCCGGCTACCCTGCTCCTTATGACAACAACCTTCACTGCACATGGATCATAGAGGCAGACCCAGGGAAGACTATCAGGTACCTGTTTTATTTTGGTTTCAGAGGATTTTAGGGTAGAGGAATGTCTTCTGTTTTTGTGGCGGCTTATTAATAGTACATCTATTATCATCCGTGGTTGGTTTCACATTTCTGAGTCAAAGAAAAACACGTAAAGGTGTGCATAAATTTTTTTGTTGGCTCATATGCTTACTTTGGAATTCCTTTGAGAACTGTTGTTAAGCCATCTATAAAAAAGAGAAAAATAAATTAAATATATCAGTTAGCTTTTGCTGCATAACAAACAGGCCCCTAGAATGTAGTTGCAGAAAACAATTATTTACCTGCCCATGACTTTGCGTGTTGCCTGGGCAGTGCTGACCTGAGCACGCTTGACAGGGTGATGGTCCAAGATGGAACCATGCAGATCTCAGCTGCTCGGTTCGGAAGGCTGTGGCCTCTTCAGACCAGACTTCTGTTCCTTCAGTAAACTATTCATGGTGGAAGGTTTCTGGAAGCAAGAGATGACAAGGTTTTCAAATTTGGGCTTGCATTCATTTGCTAACATGCCATTTACCAAAACAAAACTCATCAGCAGACAAGATAAGGTTTGAAGAAATATACTCCACCCCATACTGGAAAGAAAAGCAAAGTCATACTGAAAAGGGGCTTACATACGGGGATGGGGAGAATATGTGGTCATTTGTAATATACCAAAGTAGGTTTGAGGTAGACCAAGAAAGCATTTCAATCTAAAGTTACATATAAAGGAAAACCATTTAAAAATCATAGGAAATTGTGCAAACATTTCGATAGAAAGTGTTGTATTTCAATTGATGGTTCTCAGTTATTATGGTAAATTTTTTATACCAATAAGTAAACCAACAGAAAGTAATCTTTATACAGCAACTTTTCCGTGTTCTAGTCAGACGGCTGTGTCAAAAGTCATAGCACATAAATTAAAAAGTAATTTCAAAATAAGTTGTTTCTTGATTATAGTTCTTGGCAAACAAGGAGAGAGCATAAAGTCCTTTGCAGTGCCTCATAAAATCGTTTTTCTATCTTCATTAATTTTTCCCTTTCATTGTAGTTGTTCTGAAATATCTGTACAAAATCTATTGTTTAAAAATTCTGTCTCACCAGTCCTAATCCCCAGGTCCCTGATCCATTCTTTCCACCTGTGTGCCATTATGCCCACAGGAGACTAAATGGCCAATTCAGCCTCAAATACATGAAGTTGAATCAAGTGGGAGGTCAAACACAGAAACCTCTTTCTGGGGCAAATGAATGGATAGATGCATTCACAAACCACTGATTTTTGTCTTTATTCATAAAAGGCACCCTAGCAAACTTAGTAATGTATGTTAAACAGACAGAGAACCACCATACTGCGACTTTATAACTTAGTGACAGTAAAATGGAATGAAAGCCAAGGGAAGATGCATATTCTATCCCATGACACTCTGTTCTCTTCATATGATACCCATCCTCTGAAATCCACATGCTCTCTTTCAAGTTATGACACGAACATCTTGCCATCTTAAACTAACATGGCATGAACTATTACCACTTTCAAACCCTAAGAAAAAATGATTCTTATTACTTAAGTGGAGCAAGAGAAGGAACTTAAATCATGTATATAATACAATATCTTATTTTATAATAACTAATTTAAAAATAAATTTGTGTCCTTGAGGTGCCTGGGTGGCTCAGTCTGTTAAGCATCTAACTCTTGATTTTGGCTCAGATTGTGATCTCAGGGTTGTAAGATTGAGCCCTGCGTTCAGTGTGCAGTCTGCTTATCCCTCTCCCTCCCCCAGCCTGCATGTGCTCTCTCTTTTAAGTAAATAAATAAATAAATAAAATCCTTTAAAAAATAAATAAATTTGTGTCCTTAATTAAGATAAATGATTAATTAGATAATTATTGATCTATTGGGACAAGAATAAGGTATATTTGAGTAACAACCTAAGAATCTGTATTCTGTATGGAAATCAATGCAGTCATTTTTCCATTGAACTAAATAAAACTAAATATTAGTTCTTGACCTTGAATTCCTGAATGCTTGATCTGAGTATTATAAAAGCTGCTACACTAGTTTTTATTTTAAAAGATTCTAGGAATTCTTTATGATGGAGAAAATAGCTTTACATAAACAGGATATTTTTCTTTTAGGAGGATTCCAAATTTTTGTATTTTTTTTTACAAGTTCCTTTGTGATTTTTCTTCCTGAGAATTAAAATGAGCACTATTCTCCTAAATGCAAACCAAGTGATGAATTTATTCTTTGTAGGTGAATCTAATACTTCATTAAAATTTTAATAAGAAAAGAGGAAAGAAAGTAGTAAGAATGAGTTGAAGTAATAAAAAATGTACACCTTTTATAGCATGAACTGGCTTTGATTTTTAACCATTAGGATTCTAGGGGGAAAGAAAAAAGACATTGGATGCACCAATCTGTTGTTCTGGGAATGTCTTATGTCTCTTCCATATCTTATACATACGAGAATTAATCTTAACAAATTTGTAACATCTTTCTGATTTAACCTATAAAGCCCTTCCTAAATAGGAAACTAAGAAGGAAACATCAGTATTTATAATTAATTTTCTCAACTTCATCTCAAAATGTTTCTGGTGATTTCTCTTCATTAAGAAAATATAGATTATTTTTAGTGTGGTACTTTGGAAAAAAAAACATACTTAAAAGTACATGATGTACAATTTTAGGCTTAAGATAGTACTAATACTCAGAAAAATAGGGTCTGGTCTTAGCTTTGATATTTGTTGGCTAGTTACCAAGTCTTAGTTTTTCCACTGGTAACATAGCCAGTGTTAACTACACCATTTACTTGACAATGAAGAATATATCAGTTATATAAACATGAGTCCAGGGATTAATTTACATATTAAAATTTTTTAATATAAATGTAATTCATTATTATGCATTCATACTATGATTTCTTTAATGTAAATGTTTTTCACTCTCAAAGAAGGAATAAGCAACACGATCCCAGAATTTATAAAAGGGATGGTTTCTACACACTTCAGGACCAATTCTTACTGGGCCTATTTTGATTTCACTGAAGCCCAGAGCAATTTCTGATTGCATATTGCTATAACTTTTTGTTCAAGGTAATAGAAGAACCCTAAATAGTTATTGTTATAGGGCACTTGGGTCTGGAAGAGGTTTGTAATTTTAACATATATTCTATAAAGCAGTTACCTGAGCTGAATTTAGTTAAAAGTCTAACCATAAGACATTGTAGTAAATTTAGCCACATTTAGTGTTATATGTAAACATTTCTCTAAGAGACTCCCTGTATTTCATTGCTGAGCACAGTTATAATTTATATAATAAAGTTAACAGCGCTATAAACATCTTCAGCAAGCAACATTAGAGGCCACATTTTGCATAATCGCATGTGTATATTGTTCCTTGGTTTTAATTGCTTTTCTGCAAGTGTAATTGTCTGGAAAACTCACTTTGAAAGTATTTCTGTTCCTAATCATTCACAGGAGATTGCATTTGGAGGTATAGTTGAGGGGAATTCTTTTAGAAAAGCTCATGCAGTATTAGAAACATCAGAGGTACATAAAAAATTTACCAAGATTGTCAAAACTGTCCTTACACAGTCTTTTACAGAAAGTAAAATGTGGCTTGGTGGTCCTCATCTGACCCTAATGTGTCTTAGAATTGTTTCCTGGCTGTGTTGGATGGTGGAAAGAGTACAGTGAGATCTAGCTTGGAAATCTAGGGATATTTTAATGTATTTTTGACCAGACTTCAAGATCCCCATAAGAAATAGAGTCAAGAGGAAAATTGCAGACCAATAACCTCCATTCATTAGATACTTACGTCCAATCTCAATGTTGAGCCTTAGCAAAAATGCCAGAAGCCCAAGTTGGAAGCATTTTGATGATATAGCAGTTAAGCATATGGGGCCAGAAACAGAACATCTAAGGTGTCTCCTTTCTTATTAAGAACACAACAAGTTATACCTTTCTTTTGGAGATAATGTGAGGAAATAACCAACCAAGAGAATTTCAGCCAACAAAAAGCAAGAGACCAGTAGCGCTGCCAAGTCTGCCATGTCTTGGGCTGGCTTCCAGTCCTTAGCGTGGGGCCATGGGGATAGCCACTGGGTTTAGTGTACCTCCCCAGCCACTTAGGAGACAGTGAGTGAGAGACAGGAGAGCTGCAGACATCTCTCACTTTGCAGGATCCTGACATGCATGATTTCAGGTGTGACTATTGAACACCAGTCCTCCAACAACACAGTTGAAATTCCAGTGGAAATGTGTAGACGGTTTGGGAGGAATTGCATAAAAGACAGACTTCTCTTTCAGCTCTTCAGTTCCCATATCACTACACAAATAACAGAGGCACATCACGATCACTGGCTGACCAAGTCTTCTCTCAAAGTCCCTGGGTAGTTGAGCACTGAACATCTACTCTTCAGTTCACGCACAGACAGCAAAGCATGTTGTGATGCCACCTTGTCTCCCGTGATAAACGCACTTGACATTTTGCATCAACAGATCATGAATAAGGGCATTGGCCAAAAAAGATGAAAGTATGGGGAAAAAATGAAAAGTGGTAACACAGTGAAATTCGAGTTGAACATAGATGGAGTTATAGGAGGAGTTGGCAGTGGAAACATTGGCATTACTGATGTTTCAGAAATGAGGAGCTCCCCACAGATAGACTCTAGACACTCAACTTCCATTACTACTACCATTCCTGCTGCTCCAGTTTCTACTTCTGTATTCCCTATTTCTGTTAATATCCACCTTCCTCCAACTGACTGGGGATTCTAATTTTCAGTATTATCTTCTACTCTTCCTTATTTCTCCTTCCTCGGTCTCCAATATTTCCCCACGATGTCAGTGTATGTCTCACAGCATTCATCTGGTAATTACATTAAATGTCTTCATAATAAGCACTGAGAAAAAATTAGCTGCATATGAGCCAAAGCCTTGTCAGCTCTCCGTTTGTTTATCTTCCTTTCTTATTATCTGCCGCTTCCAGTTCCTTACTTAAC